CCAGTGCTGGAGAGATGGTTCATCAGTTAAGGGTGGTGACTTCTGTCCCAGAGGACCTGGGTTCAATTCCCAGCACCTACATGACAGCTCACAATCCTCTGTAACTCCAGTTCCAGGGAATCTGATGCCCTCACACAGATATACATGCAGTGTTTACCAATGCGCACAAAATAAAAATAAATAAATAATTGAAACAAGAAAAGAAAAGAAACCAAACACCAAAGAGCATGTGTTGTATGGTTCCATTTGTGTAAGTCAAACTAATCTATTGCCACAGAAATCAGAATACCTGGGTGCTCGTCCTTGAGAAGGTCAAGGAGATTTTCAGAGGTTTTAGTGATGGTCTGTATTGTTCTAGATAGTTATTACAAAGGTGTTTTCACCTTGGAAACATTTATTGGGTGTATACACAAGATTTCTACACTTTCCTTTTTAAAAGATCTTTGTGTGCTCTGTGTGTGTGTGTGTGTGTGTGTGTGTGTGTGCCCGTGAGTGCATGTGTTCACTGTCTGTGTGGTGGATGTGTTCATGTCATGGTGCATGTATGAATGTCTGTTCTTGCCTTCACCCTTGTTTCAGGCAAGGTCTCTTCTAGGTATTTCCCCATCTCCACATGCCCTTTCCTCATAGGAATTCTGGGATTACAGACATATCTGGCTTTATGTGAGCACTGAGGATCAGAACTTAGGTTCTTATACTTTCACAGTCACTACTTCGCCCCGAGCCACCTTCCCAGCCCCTAGATATTACTTTTCAACATAAATATTAATAAATGTGAAGCTAAAACACAAGTGTAATACTGAATAAAGACACCGAAAGACAGAAGATATTCATAACCTGGTAGTATTTAACAATTTAAAAGTACATGATACTAGAAAACACACATCTTGAAAAAAACCACAGAGACACATTAAGTACTTTAGAATGCTTGTCTGTGGGGCAGAAAAGGACAGTGGGAATCACAGATGGAAGCAAACATAGCACTAACAAAATAACAGCAGTGTCTTGCAGGGCCAACGGGGATCATCCAGAAAATTTAAGAAAATATACTGGAGGCATGTGCCTTGAATCCTAGCACTCAGTAAGCAGAGGCAAGCAGATCTCTATGAGTTCAAGGGCAGCCTGAGAGTTTCAGGAGTTCCAGGGCTGTTCTACAGAGAAACCCCATCTCCAAAAACAAACAGAAAAGAAAAAGAAAAATTTAATAAACAAGGAAGCACAAGAAAAGGGAGATGTGGAAGATGGATGGAGGAGAAGAGGGAAGAGAAGGGGCAGTTAGAAGAGAAGGAAGAGGAAGAGGGGGAGGGTGAACCGGCTTTGGGGGATCTGGACCACCCTTTGAGAGTTTCAGCACTGCCCAGGCTGAGGCTTTAGCCCCTGCAGTCACCCAAGCACTGTTCAATGAGCCTTACACACTGGATCTGCGTCCATGATCCTGAAGAAGTAGGCTCTGCTCTGAGGAACAGATCCGATCCTGACTGACGTTAGTGGAGTCTGGAACCTTGGAAGTTGATAGCTGAGATCTCAGTGGCTCTCTGGGAAGAGAGGACTCTGACATGGGATTTACAGGTGATCTAGGAGTTCTTATGAACTGGGAAACAGGATGAGAGGCAGGTGGACAGACTTGCAGAGACAGAGAAGAGCGGTGCCTGATGAAGATAGAGAGATGTCCCTGCTCACTCACAGGCAACTGGGGCTCTATTCAGACCTCAGCCCATGTCCTCCAGGAGACCTGCCACACTCAAGTACCCCAAATGTAGTGTTCTTATTTACCAAATACCTTTATACCTTTTGTTTTTATGACAGGATCTCACGTATCCCAGGATTGCCTTGATGGCCTTGAACTGACTGTGTAACTGAGGATGACTTGATCCTTCTGCCTCCATCTCCTTTGACTCCCGGGGTTAAAGGCATGCAGTACTACACTTGGTGTATGTGGGCTGAAACTGACCCAGGGCCTTGTGCATGCTAGGCAAGCACTCCACCATTTGAGCCACACACTCAGTCCTTACCTCATACTTTTAATTAATTCATCTTTAACTTAATTTTTAGGGGCGAGTACATAGAGGGATGCTTGACACATCACTGGTCAATAAGAGGATGCAAATAAAAACCCCGAGACACCACATCACCTCCACTCCAGCGGCTGCTGTTAAAAGAGAAGAGAAAACAGGTGTTGGTGAGGATGCAGGGCAAGTGAATCCCTGGAACACTGCTGGCGGCTTTGTAAAATGGCACAGCTGCTGTGGGAACACAGGACCGAGTGACCCAGAGCAAAAAATGCAGCAAAAAAAAAAAATGACTGCTTGGTGTAGAAATTTCACCTCTGAGTACACACACAGGCTCTTGAAGAGAGACTCACACACCTGTGTTCACAGCCCCCCTTTCTTGGGAATAGCTAACCTGTGGAAGCAACTCATTTGTTCTATTGGGGAACAAATGAAAGTAAATCAGGATATTGTTCAGCCTTAATGGAGAAGGAACACGTGACAACGTGGATGAATCTTGAGGATGGTATAAGAAAAAAATACTGGGTATTTCCATTTCAACGAGACTAGGGCAGTTGAATCCAGAGCAAAGGTGGAAGGGCGGTTACTAGAGGTTGAAACCATGAAGAATTTGGAGTTGTTTGTTGAGTACGGCTTCATCTTGGGAGATGACGAGTGTTCTATGGATAAATAATGGTGATGGCTACACAAAAGTATGCATTTAGTGTAGGGAAAAGGGACAAGTCAAAGAGACACACCCTGAGCAGAGCCAAAGAAACACACTTTGGCCCTGCAACCAGAACCAAAGAAATGTACCCTGACCCTGAAACCAGTGCCAAAGGAACACACTTTGTCCCTGGAATCAGAGTCAGTGAAAGAAATGCACCCTGGCCATAAAATTGGAGCCAAAAGGCTAAAAAGGACCAGAGAAAGAAACACACTTTGGCCCTGAAACTAGAGCCAAATCTAACCCTAATCCTGTGCAGAAAACCAACCAATCCTCCAGCAGGAGCTCTAGCCAATCTGAGCTCAGCATTAAAATCTGACCAATCTCCACCCTGGAAGCCCTATATAAACCCTGTGTCTGTTCAGTTTATGTCTGTTCGCACTACCAGGCTGTCATCTGTCACTCTGGCAGAGGGTAGCCACTCTCCTGGATTCTTCCCTCCCAATAAGCCCTTTGGATGAGCTTTGGGTGAAGATCTTCTTTTGCACCAGCAGCGGAGCAGAGGTGACCCTTGGCAGAGCAGAGGGGACCCTTGGCAGAGCAGAGGGAGCAGGGCTGTAACACTTTTGCTGGGGAAACCTTCCCTTGGCAGAGGGGAATTGTTACACTCCGCAGAGCTGAACTGTAACAACTTTGCCTGCCAAGCAAAACTGCTACACCGGGGGAACATTACGGGCTGGAAGACCCTGTCCTGCCAGAGCGGAGCCGATACACTGGGGAAGCCTTTCCCTGAGGCTGGGCTGTAAGCTGCTAAGCTTACTACAACCTGTGGTAGTCCTTGGCTCCCGAGCTCCAGGATACCTTTCCATCTGAGCTGTGTAACACTCAGTATTCTGTATGTGGTGCATACAAACTCATGTAAGGACACAAACATACAATTTTCTTTTAAGTTTTTCAGGACAGGGTTTCTCCGTATAGTCCTCCTGGCTGTCCTGAACTCAGAGAGATCTGTCTGCCTCTGCCTCACAAGTGCTGGGATTAAAGGTGGGAGTCACCACTGCCCAGCAACACATGAATTGTTTTAAAATACATTTTTAAAAAGTACTCTCAAATAAATTTTCTCCTTAATAAACTCACAACAGCTGAAAGAGATCAATTGGAGCATCCCCTTCTGGCCTGGTTTAATAGGGTAGTGTCTATGGAACTCTGCAGAATTACCTCCTGCTGGGTTCCTAAGCACACTCCCCCATATCCCCCCACACTAAAGACCCTCATAAGGGCAAGAACTAGGAGCCATGAGCATTTTTAACAGAGAGGACAGAGCACAAGTGGGAGGGGCAGAGGAGATTCTTATTAGAGAAAACCCCATGTAGGCTCTAAGCACAGCCTGCGACTGTCTGGACAGACAACTCCAGGGTCTCAGGCATGAGAATGGGTGCTGTAGTCCACTTCATCCTGTGAAGAGAGGCCCAGCTACAGGAGAAGCAGACCAGAGCCCTTGTTAAATGCTGCAAGTACTATACCATTTTACAGAAAGGAAGCGAGCATCTGGATTTGGGTGTCCTGGAGGGGAAGAGACCATTGTACCAACCTTATGAGGTTTGCATCTGTCTCTAACTGACCTTGCTAACCACTTAGATACCTCTACTGGCTTCAGGTCTCCTGGGCCCCAAACACAATGACACCTCCCAACCGATGTCAATTATTACACAATATGCAACCAACCCAGTGGGAATGCTGTTTCTCAAAGACATTTAATTTAAAACAACGTTTAGCTGGTTTATTTTATAGTCGTATCTCTAACGTCTCTATAGGTCCTTGGAAAGCTTCTCGGATCCAGGTCGTAGGGGCAATGAAGCCCGGGACAGTTCACGGAGCTCACGGCGGCCAGCAAGCAGGTGACTGGACCGCCCTGGCCCTCGTGCGGGAGGGCGGGAGTAGGCAGGGCCTAGCGCGCATGCGCGGTGGTCGGGCTTGCGCTTCGGGATTGCGCGTTGCCGCTCGGCTGGACAGGGGACAGGGCCACAGCGGGCACGCGCCTGAGGCGGCATCGCTGCCCTCGGGCACCCAGGACCACTGCTTTCCATCCTCCCCGAGTCCTCTCGGGCGCCCAGTCCACAGGCCTGGTCCCTCGGCGTTCGAGCTGTCCTGAAGAGACAGCCCGCGGCCTGACACGCCGTTTTCTCCGGAGGGAGCCACCGGCGCGAGCTCGCGCGCGGGCCTCGGACGTGAGGGCGGCGAGCGGCCGGGCCGCGGCGCCGAGAAGGGCCGTGCTCGTGCCCGAGTTGTCGCGAGGCGCGCGCGCGCTCCCGCCGCAGCCCAGGCCGCGCCCGCCCCGCCTCTCAGCGCCGGCCCCGGAGCCCGGTCCGCGAGCAGCGGCAGCGGCGGCCGGAGGGGACGATGAGCGGCGCGGCTCGGGCGGGCCCGGCCCGGCTCGCGGCGCTGGCACTGCTGACCTGCAGCCTGTGGCCGACGCGGGCGGACAACGCGAGCCAGGAGTACTACACGGCGCTCATCAACGTGACGGTGCAGGAGCCCGGCCGCGGCACCCCGCTCACGTTCCGCATCGACCGCGGGCGCTACGGGCTCGACTCACCCAAGGCCGAGGTCCGCGGCCAGGTGCTGGCACCGCTGCCCATCCACGGAGGTGAGGCTGGGGCCGGAGCCTGAGGCCGGGCGGGGGGCGGAGGGCGCGGGGGCGGCGTGGCCCGGTGTCTGCGCGCGGTTCGGCCGCCAGTTTAGGGAATCGGGGTCCCCGCGCAGTGGAGCCTGGCCTGCTCCCCGCTGGGGAAAGAGGCTCCTGAAAGCCTGCTGCATCTCTCCCCTAAAATAAAATAAAATAAAAAAGACTTAGAACGTCCCCCTGTTTTTCATTTAGGTAGCTTGTTTACTGGAGGGCATTGGAATGCGAGTTTGCAGGGACAGTTGAGACAAAGGAGGTGGTGCAGGGGCGCAGAACTACTTCATGGTGGACGAGATGCTTAACCTGTATTTTGGAATCGGCAGGTTTGTGCTTGAAATCCCACGGATTTATCACGGCAGTGAATCTCGAGGGATGAGAGCCCTCCTGTCTCCCTGCCCCCCTTCCCCGCCCCGAACGTCAAAACGTGCCGGTTTTTGCTTTAGTGGCTAAGAGGAGGGGGTCCCTGTTGCTTTTGGCTTTCTCTGGCCCCGGTAGTTTGGCTGTCATGAGGCGCTGGGGATTTTCACATTTATAAAGAACGCGAGAGTAGCTGAACTACTAGCCAAGTCTTCGGTCACTGGTGCCCACCTAGAGGGAAAGTGGTAAAATGGTCAGGAATCGTCTTTGAAGCCATTTGATGTAGCCTCATGTCCCCTCCCAGTCCCCGTGTCGTCGTTGTCGTCGCCCCCCTCCCCACTGCCCCTCCCACACCGACCCGGTGTATTCAGTGTGTGCATAGCTAATGATTTGATGTAAAACTTGTATCTGTTGATTACTGACTGGTAGTGTTTAAAGGCCACATTTCTCCGTGGAGCGTGTTATTTGGAGGCTTTGGCAGGCAGAACTTTAGGGAAATGTCTCCTATCTTTACATTCTCACCTTTAGAATGTTGAGAGGATTTAAAAACCAAATGCTATTCGTATTCAGATGACCTAATCTAGGCAATCTTTAGGGTAATGGTGTTTACTTTTCTAGTCTAAAATATTTTTAAAAATATGCCCCCCAGCTCTGTATTTGTATAATACATAATAAGCAGGTTTTTTGTTTGTTTGTTTGTTGTTGTTGTTTTGGCATACTGCCTGGGCATGGAGGGGGGTCACATACGATTTTACTGCTACCTGTCTTTTTAGAATGGGTTAAGTGTTCATTTTACACCAGTGACCAAATGCTTATGGTGTATTTCTTATTCCAGCAGCACTTAAGGTCCCTACTTGACCATAGAAACAGTTTTTGTCTTTGCTCCATTCAATAAATATTTGCTGCCTGCTCTGTGCCAGTCACTGTGGTTGGGACATGTAATGTTGCCAAACTATGGCAGTAACAATGCTATACTATTTTCTGGTGGAGAAAAGAACCGTGAGGGTCATGTGGAAGGGAGGAAGAGGAAGAGAGAGGCAAGCTCCTCTGCAGGAACTTCATAGTGTTTCGAAATCTGTGGTTTGTGCTTGGGGCTTGGTTCCCCCAGGCACTCCAAGACCACCGCCCTCACTTAAGATGCTGGACTCCAAAGTGTTTCATGTGCTGCTACTATCTGTTGCCTGTCTGTCACCTCCAGATTAAGTCCCATCTTGGAGAATGCTTAGGGGATTCAACTGAAAGGTGTTGGGAACTAAAAGACAATCATCTTATCCTGTTACTGGGGAAATAGCATTGTGACGTTGAAAGCTACATATCAGACCTGTGCTGCATATACACTGTGTGGTACTTGCAACATAATCCTGTCAGTGGCTTCATTTCTTAAAAAAAAAAATAGACTGATAATGTATTCGCCTCTCCTGGGGAGAATAGGTGTCATTATCGTATCTTTTTCTAAAATTTGCTTATTTTTATGTGTGGATATTTTGCCTGTATGTTTGTGTACAATGTGTGAGCAGTACCCCGAGACCAGAAGAGAGTGTTGGATCCCTGGAACTGGAGTAAAGAGCCATCCTGTGGGTGCTGGCAACTAAGCCATTGTCCTCTGCAAAACCAACAACTGCTCTTAACTGCTGGGCCATATCTCCTGCCCTTACTACATGAGAATTGTTTCAGGATTTCTCAGGGTGATGATGGTGGGACCCTGTGGGTGGCTTCAGTCAAACTTTGGACAAATGATCTTCACCCATGTAGTCTTTGAGTCTAGAAACTGCTGATTGAAACCCACTTTGCCAAGCACCATAAAAACCCTGGTGAAAAAGGAGGACAGTAGCCTGTAGTAAAGCTGTTAAAGGCATCTTTATGAAACTCCCATTCAGAGAAGCCCTTTTTCCAGGTAGTTTACCTATAAGTTGTCCCTACACCTGTGAATTTATACAGACTCCAACGTGACATTCTGCTTGTGTACTTGAAACTCAATAATATATTTTAAAAGGAAAACTGTGATAGAAGCCTGGTAAAATTATTCATGTTGAAGAAAATCATTTAAAACCAGGTGTGGTTGTGTATGGACACCTATTATCCCAGCAGTAGAATTGCCTGAGGATTGATGTTCCAAAGTGCATCTCAGGAGCCTGGGCTATGGTGTGAGACCCAGTTCCCCAAAACAAAAACAATGAACCTTTTATCTTTATAAATAACAAATTAACTTTGTTTGTTTTTCCTTAGAAACTTTGCTATTTTAAAAGTACATTTTGTAAAATGTTACCATTGTACTTTGTAAAATACTTTCTAAACAAGTATACTTTGAAACAAATATTTTTTGAAACAAATAATTTTTATTAAACAAAATGTATCAGTGAGTGGAGATGCTCTTTGTTCTAGGCTAGCATTTGCATGTTACCTGATAAAGCATTCATTTTTAGAAATGGAGTTTTGCAGGAGTGTGTTGTAACACTTATGAACAGATCATAGTTGCTTTTTTGCTGCCTGCTGCAATGGTCAGCTTTGAGTTAGGCACACTAATCCCTTTGCGGAGCAGACCTAGCTAGTGTGTGGCACAGACATTGTAAATGTGCTCTATGTGTATGCACACTGGCTTTTTGTTTGAGCCCAGAGTGGGGGTTGGGGAAGGAGAGAGCCCTGTGGTGGTGATGTAATTAGTATGTATGCAGATTGCTGGCAGCAATAGTTTGGCATTGGTCACTTTATGCCTTGTACAGAAAATTTCAGGATGGAGTGTTAAAAACTTAGAGAACAACTTTGCCAAGTAATAAACCTTACTGATTGTAGAGTTGCAATATAGTTTTTAAACGGTTTATCTTAGATTTTTATGTTTAAAAATTGGTCCTGTTGGAACCCTGGTGCTTCCTTTGGCAAATCTGGAGTTGGATTTAGGAATTTTCATGAGCAGTGAAGAAGACTGACATAAAAACAGGAGGTGACAGAGATCATGTAACATTTGAGTTTGATAATAGTAGAGGAAGGCCACCAGACATAGAGATATCAAAATAGTTACAGAAAAAGTATGTATGATCCTGCAAGCAGGTACTTTGAACATTAAGAAAGAAAACTCAGAAAAACTGAAGACTTTGAAAACAGTGCTGAAATAATTAAATTGCTGGGCAAGAAGAACATGTGTGGGGGCGTTATACTTGTATTCAACTCTACAGTGTAGACAGTGTTTTTATGTGGTATATTTTCCCATTCACTTTTGATGATTTCTATTAGCTTATAAATGTTAGGGAAAAAATCTAGAACCACTCACCCTCCTTACTAGGCTCCCGACATGCTACCTTCTTATTTCTGTTTCTGTTAGAACAAAGTGTCTGATCGTGTTTCTTTACTTGCTGCCTCTACTTTTTCCTCCTGCTCTTTCTTACATGGTGAAAGTCTTTGATTGCTATGCCAGTGATTAAAAACAACAACAAATTTAACTGATATATTGGGTGACATGGTCAGGATTCCTAAAGTCTTAATGTATAGGATGATAGGGTGAAGTTAAAACAAAAGGTTTTAACTTTTTGTTAAAGATAAATGTATTTATATATTAAGAATTAGGAAGTATTGTTTTCTTTGAGGATTGTTCATGGAGATAAGTTTTAGCCATGCCATGGCCATCCCATGTCACATGACACAGCTAGTAAATTCTCCTGACTTTGCCCAGGCCAATCCTAGATTGCATCTGGATATAGGGAGGCTCCATCATACTTTATAGAGGCCATACACACTTGTAGCTTATAGTTAATTCTGACTACAAGTTGTAAGAGACAAACGAACTACAGAACTTCATTTTGAATGTTATAAAATAAATCCTTCACTGGTAAGAATAAATTAATGTATTCCAAGATCCTCTTACCTGGAGCAAGGTGTGGCAAAAAGAGTAAGGCAAATCTTTTAAGAAACCTTCCAGAGTATATTCATTGAAGAGAATATTCTTCAATTTTTTTTTTGGTAGTACTAGTGACTAAACTCATGGCATCACCTATGTTAGCCAAGCACTTTATCACTGAGCTGTATCCTGGCCCAAGATTTTTTGTTTGTTTGTTTTGTTTTTCAGGACAGGGTTTCTCTGTGTAGCTTTGGTGCTTGTAGCCTGTCCTGGAACTCGCCTTTCATCTCAGCCCTCTCGAGGCAGAGGCAGGCCTATCTTTGTGAGTTCGAGGCCAGCCTGTTCTACATAGCGAGTTCCAGGACAGGCTCCAAAGCAATACAGAGAAACCATGTCTCAAAAACAACAACAACAACAAAAAAGTAAACAAACGAAAAACAGAGGCGATGGGACTAGAGAGATATCTCAATGATTAAGAGTGTACTTCTTGCAGAAGACCTGAGTTTGGTTTCCAGAACCCATATTGGGCTGCTCACAACTGCCTGTGACTGCAGTTCCTCGGGGTTCCTCTGGCTTTCATGGACAACTTCAGTCATGTGACGTACCCTGCTTGTAATTTAAACACTTCTTTTAAAATAGTTTTAGAGGAATGGAACAGAAAAGTCGTGTGTGTGTGTGTGTGTGTGTGTGTGTGTGTGTGTGTGTGTGTGTGTGTAGTAAACCCATAATCGGGGCTGTAGCAAGATTAAGAGTTCAAAACCAGCTTGGTTCCATAGCA